CGTGTCATAACAAGACGTAGGTGTGTTTTGTGTGCACATGTGTGTGTTTGTCTTTGTCTTTGTCCGTCCTTGTCTTCGCGGTGAGCAGCAGACCTCAGCGAACGCCGTTTAAGTGTTCGCCTCTGTGTCACCGACTCACCCACCTCTATCCACGTCACCGCGACAACTGTGTGATGACCAGGCTAATTCGAGAGATGCATCACGCTCACCAAGGCCAGCCGCCCCGATGAGCAAATCGACCACGACGAACCGTCCTCTGCGTTTCGGCGGCCTCCCTCTGTCTCAACCAGACACCGTAGCGCGCGAGGGTGCACCGTGCACGTCACATCCGGTAGGTCGCTAGTACAGTCCGGTCTGCTCGCCAATCATTCGGGCCGACCGAGGGTCGCCCAGCCTAATCACCCGTTCAGAAATCTAAACGGTTAAGGGAGTTTTGCCTCGCGGACGTCGCTATTCTTTCTTGCGACAGGTCTGGTGAGCGGAATTCCGGACGAGCCCTACTTACACGCGGACCGTGCGTGCCCATCTCGAGAAATACATTCGACAGCCCATCCCCACAACGGTTATCAGCCTCGTCAGGAGAACACGGACCAGAAAGCCCATAATGGATTCAAAGCAACGCCATGAACCAAGCCTTACGTGAATGTTTATACAACAAAAACAAGCCTTCATATTCGGTAGATACTACACCGCCGCGGGCACTGGTTGCTTTCCGCCGGGCTTTGGATGAGCATGCTTGAACGTGTTACCAAATATGGAAAGCTCTCGCTCGAGGCGGAGCATCTACTGGACTCTTAGCCTGTGATAATAAACGTACCGACCCGAGTTTCCGCCATAGGGGGGGGGGGGGGGGGGGGGGGGGGGGGCGTCACACACTAGCGAATACGTGAACGCACGCCGGCTCGACAGATATTCCGGACGCCGATGTCAAAACCTGCAGTACCCCCCATTCGAAGAAGCACTCTACCTATTTGGGCACGAGTTACTCGGATGAAACCACCTCGGTGGCTACCGACGGCGATGACCCCGCCGCCTTGTTCCGCGGCCACGACAAGAGGGCTTCCCCGGCGGCACGGGGCACATGACCTCAGCCGGGGCGGCGGCAGACGCACGCGGACGACAAAGAAGAAAGCTGCAGGTATGGACACGCCACGACGCCACTACGTGGGGCGCTCCCCTCGCTCGCCGCTCTACCGAGAAGTTCAGCAGCTGTTCGGGGTTCAAGGACGCCGACGGGCGCTTGACTGGACCGGCCGCGCCGGCTCCTCCATTTTTCTTTTTTTTGAAGGGGGGGGGGGGGGGGGGGCTGGGCTGGTTACGCGCCCTTTGGCAGCACCCCCAAAATCAGCGGAAACATGCGCACTCCTTGTGCACCGCATGCGCTGCTGCGGAGCTGGTCGTAAGCCGTCGCAAGAGGCTTCAAAACCGGTCTTGTCTCAGTCGGCTGTAAAAAAAATTGGGTTGTGTGAGTGTTTATACAGCCTAGAACTTGGTCTGCCTCACAGGGGCGACGAGTCTCCCAGCTGTAGATGAGAAATTTAGCCAGTGCGGTACAACCGCTAGCCTGGGGTCTTTAACGTGCATCACGCAGTAGTGATACACGACCGCACGCCGGTACGATGCTCATCCAGATCGAAACGGGCAGGGGTGGGGCTCGAACCCAGGATCCCTGGGTTCCGCAGCGCGAGCTTTTGCTCCACGTGCTCCGAGCTGGTGTGCGCTAGACCACTCGGCCACCGATCCCCCTCAGTCGGCTGTAGTGAAACGCAAGTGTGTGGACGGGCCTTTAAAGATCTGTTTCTACTCGCTCTTCGAGCGCGTGCGAACTGCAGGACACCGGCGTTTGCCAATCGAATGTGTTCGAAGTGCGAGTAGAGACGAAGGCAGCTATACGTTTCAAGCGCGAGCATGCTACCCTGAACAGTGCTTCCACTGCACAAGCGCGCGTGCTTGGCAGGGATGCTAAAAGCGCGGAGCTCGCTCTTGTAGCTTCTGCTACGTTCAAACTTAAAGTGAAACGGAGTATAGATCTGCGTCGACCCCCTAATCTTTCCAACCATAGCTCGGCGTTCTGACGTTTTCTCCTCTCCCTCAGTTTCTCGTCGCATAGGAATAATACGCTTTCGTCGTGTACTAATACCAGCTTCACATAGATATACTTTACGAGCACATTTCTTTTCCCGTAGAGTTCTGCATGGATGGAAAACCCAGCTCCCAAGTATGTTTATGCGCATGAGTGAAGGAGAGGCCTCTCGGACGTCGTAACAACGATACCAGACGTTTTTATGCATCGAATTATTTGTTGGTGTTCTTCGCATCGCATACAAACGCGCACATGGCGCTGAAATCAGCTTGGACCTTGCTGTACCCCGTAATCCTGATTGTGTTGCGTGTATGTGTAGACGGCGGAAATTAACCAGCCCCAGCCCCAGCCCCAGCCCCAACCCCCCCCCCCCCCCCCCCCCGAAATAAAATCCTGCAGGGCTACGTGCCTGGTACGTAAGTAGTGTACGTAGTGTAGTAAGCCCCCCCCCCCCCCCCCCCCACCCCCCCCTTCGGCCCCTCCCCTTCCCCCTAGGCTTACTACACTACACACAAACAGCCCAGCCGCAGTTTGGCCAGCCCTGGGGTGTCCGATACACCCGGACGCTTTCGGGTGTGACTTTCTCATAAACATACACGCGAAGTAACGCGGTAATCATATATTCCGCCTAATCGTTGGCGTTGAAAAGGGGAGCTTTGAGTGATATCCTAGTCCGTGGAAAAGCGTACACGCACTCGGTCTCTATGTATATATTCGAGGTATACTCTTACCTACCGGATAATCAAGATCGTTACACCGAAAACAAGAAAAAAAAAAAAAAAAAAAAAGGAAACAGGAAGCGAAAGAAAACATCCGCAAGGGCGGTAACCCTCTCTCCCCAAATATCTCTGCAGTTTATAATCTCCCAGTGTGTTTTCGAATAAAGCGGAACAGGGCGACGAACTATATATACTCAGTGCGCTGCTACGCGCTGTTCCCAACTGCGACGTAAAATAAAGCTCCGGCACCCCTCTTCGAAGTGACAACAATAAAATAAAATGAAAATCTTCAGAAACGGAAAACGAATGCCGGCGGAGCCAGACGGCGGTAGACGCTGCTCGTGCATTATGGCGTCTCGATTGATCGAGGCCCTCCATTCCGAGCAGGGTAGCGCAACGCCCAGCGGCGACACGACGGAGAAGAGGGAGTGGACGACACTGGCGCGACACGCCGGCGCACAAAACATGCATGGACGGCAACGCGGCACCGAAGAACGACCTGCGCCGCTGCGTCCATCCATTCGCAGACACAAATGGCGCAGCGAAGAGCGGACTTATTTACACTCCAAACGGAAGTTCTCCACAAAAGCCCGGGTTCTCTACTTTCAACAAAAAGGCCACTTAAAAAAAAAAAAAAAAAAAAAAAAAAAAAAAAAAATTCAGGTGCAACCAATATATATATATATATATATATATATATATATATATATATATATATTATATATATATATATATATATATATATATATATATATATATATTAAGCCTGAATTGGTTTTATGGTTGGTGATTTCAGTTAGGAAACGTAGATCTGTAAAAGCCAGTAATGTAGGCGTTACCAAAAAAAAAGTAACGAAATACGTTTTCTTCTTGTTTGCAAATAAAAGGAACGGGCTACCGATCTACGTTACCTCAAAATAAAAGGAACGCGTTACGTTAAAATGTCACGCACGTTACTTTTGCATTGCTTTTTTTAATTATGAAATCCCACGCTTTACTCTTTAAATGTTACAAGTGTGCATAAGCGCCATATTTCAACCAACATTATCTCTATCGAAAAACTGAACATAATCACCTATCTTTTTCTACGGTTCCACCTAAATACAAGAAAGAAAAAAAAAAAAAAAACCGCAAAGGAAAAACATTACAAATTTATATGGCTTGGCACACATATACACACAAAAAAAAACAACCTTGGGAAGAATAGGTAACGAGTAACGTAAATACGTTACCCGTCACCGTTTTGAAAACGTAACGAATACGTTACCACGTTACCTGGAAAAATGACCACGCTACTGGTAACGCCGTTACTTGTAGCGCGTTACAGTAAACAACTGCGGAGAACCGCCCGCACAAAACGAATCGTGACGATATTCTTTTCAGACCGAGCTGACAATTTAACCCGGATTAAAGCTACGCTAATAGGACAAAAAGCACCGTTCATTTAACTGCAGTAGAGGTATAATACGGTGAGAAACACATCGTGTACGTCAGACTACGTTCCAAACGGACGGCCGTCACGAGTTACCATAACATCAGGTGGCAACCTTGATAAAGAAACCTTCGTCACATTTAGCGATAACATGTATTCGCCCACTATTTTCTATAATATAGATTCTTGTATACGGGCCCCAGAAAACTCGATACAAACCCTACAGCACTTATACTGTTTTTGTGTGACTGTTGCCATGTTGAAATATGACGTAGTTGGGTTGGGCGACACAAACTACAAACTAAAATAAATACTTTAAGCATAACTACACTTAAAAAAAGTACAGCCTAGGAAAAAGTAGAACTGTTGTCAGTAACCCCTTGAATTCTAGAGCCTTCTAGTTGGCCAGTAAAGTGATTTGCAATTTTTCTCCAACTCAGCTGCGCCAGAATTCAACATGCGAAAACTGCACGCACACCTAAACTTGCACACGAAGTTGAGCGGGTCGCGGGTAGTTGGAAGGGAAAAAAAGAGAGGGGGTCGACGCAGCACCTAGAAAGCAAGGCCTAGAGTGCTCGCTTTTTGACGTCACTAAAGGGACGCCATGCGCGGGTACACTGGACACGAGTCCCAACTGAACGCTGACGCAGCATCGAATTAGTGCCCCGCGCTGGCCTCCAACAGGTGACGTAAAAAATCGAGCACTATAGGCCTTGTTCCTTACAAGGTGCTGGCTGGCGAGAATATCGGGACGACAGACACTCACCCGTCTCCGCTGTGGGTCTCATCCTCGGCAGCGTGTAGCAACGAAGCTTTCCGCGCAGGCGCAGTCAGTCTCTCAGGCACAGCAAACGGCAGACACGCGCTGCGAACAAAGTGGAGGAAATCGGAGACACAATGAGAGAGAGCGAGAGAGAGAGAGAGAGAGAAAAAACAGTAACAGCAACGATGACAACGAATTAACGAGTGACAAAATTTGCGGTGGTCGCCAGAGGAGACGCTTAAACAGCTGTTTACACCGGCGTAAACAGTTAGCCAAAAAAAGAAAAGCGTTCATAATAAAAAAGAAAAAAGAATTATCTTCTAGGAGGAAAAGTGCGAGTAACCGCACGAAGTTTAGCCATGCGGAATATGCACCGCAACGGAGACTTCCGCGCTGACCGCATCTTTCCTCTTATTCTTTTCGCACTCCTATCGGGGTTGGGGTCACAGTGTTTATAACCAAACATCCCCTTTCATTTTTCTTTTCGTCTTTCTCGCTCGCTAACCAATATCTGTTGTATCATTAACCACTAACTCGAAGCTAAAAAAAATATATATATATATAATTCTAGGAAAAAAATTGGTGCTGCTGTCAGAAAGTGATATATGTACGCCCATGATGACAGAGTCGGGAGGGGTTCGCGAATATCTGGGAGGATCGAGCTGAGTACGCCGTTACATTGTTAGCATCGGGGTCAGCGCATTCGACGCCGTTGCAATTTTATGGGCCACGTCGCATCGCACCAAACGTTTCTTTTTTTTTTTCTTCTATACTTTGTTTTTAAACGGCAGAGAGGGCGAAAGACTGAAAGCTGAAAAGTAGGGGAATGCATTGAAGAGTCTGGAGCGTGCCGCGTCCGTGTCCCAGTAACCGCTTTTCTTGCGCCGAAGGAGAGGGGGGGGGGGGGGGGGGGGGGGGCGGTTTTGTGAAAGTTGTCTATAGATGCCTGACAGCGTTTAGGGGGGAGACGACATTGACGAAAATTCACGAGGGGCGTGAAAATAATACTAAGAAAAAGGCACAGCTGTAGCCAACGGCCAGGTGGATATGATACGGGTCTTTCCAAATATCTGAATGACCCGGAAAAATAAAATCGCGAGAGGCCGAATACACGCATTTGATGGGTCGGAGTTCTTTGGGAGCACCTTTGGAAGCAGCCGAAAGTACATTTGAGAGCTGCAAAAATAACTTTCGTCGCATATGCACACACTACATTTTCATTCGTACCACCGCACGTATGTTAAGGTTCGTGTGTTGACCTGTCGAACTGAATAAAAAAAAAAAATGTCTACTTCGATTTTCCACTTTTGTTGTTAGCATCAGTTGCAAGACAGGTTGATTCCCTCAAACACAGAACTGCTTAGTTGTGCATAGAAGGCTAGAAGCACCAAACGCGGCAACAATATATGCAAATTGAGGAAGGACAGTATGAACTACAGTGCATAGTTTTTTTCTTTAGAGAATCAAGGCTAAAGCAAATAGTTTATTACACTGAAACAATATTAAAATAAAACAACTCAGAGCACCCAAACTGCTGTTATGTTCAAATTATAGAGGCTCTAATGAAACTGCAATCCTTAAACCAGATAAAAAAGCGTTTGTGTTTGGATATGAACATGAATAACGCAATGAAGAACTTATAACTTAAAAACAATCCCGCCAAACTCGTTAAGGTTGTTTCCAAGCTTCTATTCACTGCTCCAGCAAATGCAGTTTTAATGTCTATGACCGTGCCACCGAACAGATATCAAGCCGTGTCAATGTAGTAATAACTAAACAAGAAAATTGACATATAAAATAAACACATTGAGGAGTCTACGCAAGTCTTTGCGCAATACTCAAGTATCCTTAGTAAATCTTGAATTTGAAAAAAAAAAGAAAAAAAGACATCGTCAGAATATTCATTAAATTGCCACAGCTTTATTCAGAAATCGAGTTTCACGTTTTGCTCTGGAAGGGTGCTTTCTGCTTAGCACGCGGGTGTTCTGCGGGGAAACAAGATACGCAAAATCGCGATATCCATTTTTGCGGCTGTCACTCCACCGCAGTACAGCAGTGCGCGGTGAGAAGCGTCCTGAACGAAGCCAGCTAACTTGCGAGAACAGACCACGCACAGGAAAAATATTGCGAGATTCCCGAGTACTGTCAGAGTTTGACCGAGATGAAAGCAAATAGTAAAAATATTTGACGCTATAATCGAAAGTTAGGAAAATTCGCACAAGCCTACCGTAACAATCTGGCCGCGTAGCGCGGGTCATGAGCCATTATATTTTAAGTATTTAAGTAATATTGACTTTCGACGCAACGTTGGCGCAAATTCCTCGGATTTTGGCAAAATATAGCAGAAGGTAGCAAGGTAAGCACTTTGGCGCAGTTTGGTGCACATGGAGAGTTAAATCACATCACAGCGAATATCGTTCTTGAAAATACGCATACTTTACCGTCAGACCACAATATAAAGGAAGGTGTGATTGATAACGATGACTTAACATTATTTTCCTCTATGCCGTCAAAAAGAGCCGAAGAAGAGCACGCAAGTCTACATCACTAACCATTTGCGCAAAAAAAAAAAAAAAAAAACAACAGCAAGTAATGCAACTAGTTAGATATGAAAATGACTAGCTGCGTTTAATAAAAAAAGGGCCACAAAGTGGCTAGGTGTACTGGCGACCGACACCAGTGTACGAGTAAACATTTTTCTAGACCCGCAAATGCGTATCTGCTTAGAGCAAAGAGACTCAAAGAGCCGAACGCGTACTTTCGAACGAGTACAGATGGTTTCGACTTTCAATTCACGAGACATGCGCAAAATTAGTTGTGTAAATGCGAGATCCTTCCCGTAGACAATGCCTCCAGCCCAGCTGCAGGTAAGCCGTCACTAAATGAAGTTTAAACAAAATAACACAAAAGCGGGCCTAGCTTTAGGTTAGGTGGGCATGCGGAAGCAAGCGACATCCTGCTGCCCTTCGAAGTTTTTCAAACATAATATGCCGTTACCATGCGCGTACACATTCGAAGCGCCAGTACAGGTACGGGGTTGCGAAAACGATACCGAAAACTTCGCATGAGCCATTGGCTCCATGCCCACCCTCTCTCCGAAGGCTGGGAATCCCAAACGCACTATTTGGTTCCGAATCGGTCAAATCGCGTTACAGCGATACCGTCTAATTATATAAAGGGGACTTTGGCGACATCATCATATAGGAGCTCGGATGCATACGGCAAACGGCGCCCCCCCCTACCGTATCGAAAGAGTTGATCTACGCGCCGCAGCGCGCGGAGTTCTACCGGAAGCGCGTGAGCGGTGACGACCTGCCCGATAAACTTGGCGTTCTGGATCTCCAAACTGGGTCACAGATAATATGTCGCGATCAGCAGTTCGACCCCATCTGGCTTTAATATATTCGGCGAGTGCCGATATGCCAACTCCTGGATGCGTTACAGCGGCAGCCGACGTTTCGTTTAAACAGCCACTGAAGAAACTAAGGTCATCCTAAGAGAATGAGAGCTAACCATGAAATGGGACGAAGACGGATATGTAGAGCAGGGGTCTCAAACACGCGGGCCGCGAGTCGCTGGGACGCGGCCCGCGAGCAACGGGCTCTGAGCCCTCGTTCCCATGCCTTGAGCGCAAGAAATGGCATGCGCTATAACGATCTCATGTTGCTGATATATTTCCGTTCGAAACATAGCTCTGCTCTTATAACGTATTTACCAGTTACTTTTCTGTTTTTATTTGCCTTGTGTCTTTTATATTTTGCTTCCCCAAGTTTTTTCACGTTAGTCATCTGTACCACAATTTCGCTTTTAGGCTGCAAGCGCGAGCACTTCGCTCAAGGACACACTTTGGCTGCACAAACTCTCGCTCAGCAGTGGAATGGTCAAAGATAAAGCTAAGAGCTTGAGATTTTCGCCTTCAGAAAAAAATCGCCATTCAACTACAAGTATTTTTTTTTTAGACTGCTGCTATCAAGAATCCCCAGGAAACAAAGCGCTGACATATGAAGAGATTTCCTCCTTTTTTTTTTACATAAATCTAGAGCTTGAATAAGTTCCGAATCAATTGGTGAACAAAAAACGGCAGTGGGATAGCTCTCGTAGAAGTGCTGCCATTTTAAATCTTGTTATCACATCAGGCAAAAACCCAAATTAGTCCTATAAACAAATCAAAGCTGAAAATGTCAGTACTACACTGCGAGTTAAAAAAAAAAAAAAAATGGAGCATGAGGTTTTTTCTTAAAATCCTCCACACACTCTCTCTCTCTCTATCCCCTCCCCTTTCCCCCTTAGGTTGATCCTCGACCTTTTGGGAATGGGCTCCCTGGGCCCCGCGCTCAAATGAGTTTGAGAGCCCTGATGTAGAGGCTTCCAGCGTAGAACAACATTTATTTCGAGTCGGCAGACTCAAGCAAAAGCCCCCCCCCCCCCCCCCTACCCTTTCTACTACTTCTCCGCTGGCTCTTTTCTCTTCTACCTTCCCAAACCAGGTTTGCTCAAGATCAGTTCTGCTGGCATGAAATAAAAATCGCCATGAACTGGAAGCTTGCACTAACGCGGACAATATGAGCTGAGACAACCTCTATGCTTCTTCGGCTTTTCTGCTATAGTTTTAAAAGAAGCTACCGTTCAAACTTGACTTGGAACGAGAAGCTTAGGTCTCAATCCTTGAACGTGACAATTCGAGAGATGATAGAGCAGTCGTGTACCCAGGGGGAGGATTACAGAGCTTCAGCCCCTCTCTCTCTTTCTCTTTCCCCCCCTCCAAATACAGCCGACCCTAAAATATACACATGCATTTAACCCCCTTCCCTCCCTTTCCCGGCGCCCTATAAGAAGAAACAAAGTGGCTACGCGCAGCAAACGTTTGCACATCATGTTTCAGCTCATACTGGCCGGGAGTGTACATGTCCGTCCACGTCCATTTTTGTGTTTAGCCTTCATTTTTCTGGTAACCATACGTCCCCTCGCTCGTCGAAATTTTCTAAGATCCTCCACTTCCTTTTTTTTTTTAAGTTCTGCTCATTAGCTTCGACTATACTCACGTTTTGTTTGGACTGCGAGCCAGTAAAAAAGTACTCCAAAAGAAGAAAAAGAAAAAAAAA